GGAAAATTTTTAACAGCAATCAACAGTTATCAGCACGCCCTGTTTTTAAATTATTGAAGCGACAGTAGTAGAGGTTAAACAAATATTGCTTTTTTTATGTAGCCACCTTGGTGTCAGTGCATAGACAAGACAAGGGGGAGAGGGCAACAGCAACCACTGCTAACCTGATCTAAACCATGGCGGAACAGCGAGTAATTATGCGTTTTTTGCAGCTATGCAATGCAGAAAGCGTATGTTGACGAGGGCTGTGTGTGTGTGTGTCTGTCTGTCTGTCTATCTGTCTGTCTGTCACGGCTTTTCATCGCAAGACCTAAAAGCTACAGGGATGAAACTTTGGAAACTTAATCTACATGTACGTACGGGTTCCAGTCCCAAAATGGGCGCTTCTGCCCGCGTGGTATCCACGTATGGATTCGTGGAAGTTTTTTGCGGGTAAATCGCTAACTCGCGAGAAAAGCTAGAAAGCTGAATTTTAAGGGGATGTCCACGTAAGTTTCAGTGACCTCAAACACAGCCTCGGGCATGCGCCATACCCACGTACGGGCCCGCCAAAATTTTTTTCGGGTAAGTCGCTAACTCGAAAATTTGAAAAGCTAGAAGACTGTAATTTTAAGAGGATATTCCCCGTCCACCTAAATCTCAGTAAGCTCAAATCCAGCCTCTGGGTATGCGTGGTACCACGTACAGGCTCGTGAAAGTTTTATTCGAGTAAGTTGATAACTCGGGAACCTGAGACGCTAGAAGACTAGAATTTTAAGGGAATGTTTCCCATCCAAGTATGGTATTAATTTGTTCAAACCCAGCCCTCGAATATGCGTTGCACCCGCGTGCGGGGCCGTGAAAGTTTTTTTCGGGTAAGTCGCTAACTTGGGAACCTGAAAAGTTAGAAGACTGTAAGTTTAAGGGAATGTTCCCCATTCATGTAGGTATTAATGAGCTCAAACCTAGCCCCCGGGTATAAGTCATTCCCGCGTATGGGCCTATGAAGATTTTTTTAGGGTAAGTTGCTAACTCAGGAACCTGAGAAGTTAGAAGACTGGAATTTTGAAAGGATGTTTTCTGACAGTCCTGGCGGCAAGTCTGAAATTCTTTTAGCTAAAAGCATCTGCCGGAAAAAAACAGTGCCGTTAGCGACAAAAATCTGCGGGGAGCTATGCAAAAAACGCATCTTCGCAGGGGTAGCCCGTGTATTGGCCAATTATTTTAACTTGCCGTTGTACAATTCAATTCATTACATACCTGAACAACGGCAGAACGAAAAAACCTGCATTCATGCTCTAGTGCTCTTTACTGTCGTTGCTCTCAACAATGAATCACAACTACATCTCCAAGAAAGTTACTCGTTTGATTCGCTGCAGAAGCCATTCAAGCTACTGTGGTACATCTCAAGAAGAGCAGCAAATACTAAAATGTCTACAAAAATGTGATCGATCCTGCGACGATGTGAGAGCTTTTGGAGGCTATAAAGCACTAACGTAATAATCTTTTCGATCAGCTGAAAAACTTCAGAGAACTTGAGCACCGATGGCAATTTTTATGCTTTTCTGATTCACACTTTATGAGGAGCCTCTTTTTTCGACTCCTCGAACATGTACCTGTCAACTGTACTGGATGCTTTATGAGATCATGTATGTGTGTGCGTATGTATTTGTGTCTATACGATACAGTAGGAGTGTATATCCGGAAATTTCAACGCAGGAACTACGCAAGTAAGCTGGTTATTATGAACACACAGTTTTTGACCAAATGAAGAGCCAAAACCTGACATGAATTTCCGGGCTTCTTGGCATAATTTATGAAGAGAGAACCAAAAAATGAATCGGAGTGCAAATTGAAAACTAATAGTGGGAAGCTTAAAATTTGAAAGGTGCAATAAGTCGCACAAAATGGGATGAGCAGCTTAAAATCAGCTTCCGAATTGATCTGCGCAGAGAATCTCTGAACTACGGCCATTGTTACAACTCTAAAATCAAACTTGCTTCATGTGAAAATCGGAAATTTATTAACCAAGCTATAAAGCCGGAAGAAATCAGCATCCAAATCCTACCGTATTCTGAGGTCAGCTTCAAATCCAAGT